GATTTTGGAGCAAAACTCTTCTGTTTTTATAGAGGGAAATGTCTAAGCTTTTGATGTAGGTAATGACATCAGTAGCTGGAAATAGAAAGTTAAAAATATGGAAGATAAAAGAAACAAAATGACTTGGAGGAGAGCTGCGTCATGGCTTAAGTTCACCATTTTGGGGAAAGCTTCATCATAGCTTACGTCACCAAATTCGTTTTCTAAAATTCATATATCACTAACCTCCCCCTTTTTATTTTCCCCACCATTTTTAATTCACCTGCTTTCTGTTTCTACAGCACAATAATTCTTGTATCGCCTTTTTTTTTTCTTTTTTGGGCAAGCAAATTTCCAACAAATAAATCAAGGATAACAAAATTTTTACAGTTCCCTTTATATATAAACAAATACAATAGATTATTTCTAGCAGTTAAAGTTGAAATTTTAAAAATTAGAACTTTGGGAGGGTTCAATTCCTCTACCGTCCTGCGTCTTAATTCTCATTCCTCTCTTGCTGGGTATATGTTCATTTAAAAGCTACCAAGGTAAAATTAAGTATACCTGCTTTGATGTTTCAGACTACAACCTTAACTTTCATGTTTCGAATTACAAGGTTTCGGCCTTTTGGGAGCTGCTTGAAAGCCCCAATCTGATTTTAGCCTATATGTTGGAGCAAAATTTTTCTTCCCTTTTTTTTGGTCAAAAGAAAAAGTAACCCTTTATAGGAGAATGAATAATTTTGAAACCAAGGGACAGTAGAAATAAAAGACTGCTTCAAGGGGCTTGGATGGAACCAAACTTGATTTGGCCTTAAGAGTTAAGAGTCTAATGCCCTTAAAGATTGAATAGTTTTCAATTTTGGAGTAAATATGCCCCCATCAACCTAGTGGCTTCCCATATTAAAGCACATCCCATTGTCTTGGAAATTGAGGTTCCTTATAAAACATGTGTTGTCCAGTGGTTTATGGAAAGAATTACTCTGTAAGCAGAGTAATGCTTTTCACTTCAACTTGTAGCATCACCCACGGAAGGTAGCATTGTTTGCATTAAACACCACAAGCAAAAGTAAATCATGAATCAAAATAAACAGGAAATAAAGCTCCCGGCTGCAAGTATTTAGTTAAATCTAGAACATTAAAAGCATCAATTATCCTGAGCTGTAATCCACTGTAAAGTATCACAATAGGATCATGTCACAAAGAACTTTTCCCAAGCTAATCTCCTAACAGAGTTCATGAATATCTGCTATCCCAAAAGCTCCAAGTCATCTCCTTGAGCCTAGGCCACAAGGGTGCTGGCAGTAGTAGATTCACTGCAAGTAAAGAGTTTTATAAGCATCTGCTCAAAAAGATAAACTCAAAGCAAGTTGCATTAACGTAATGACCAAGCATAGTTGTCAAAAGCAGGGCCATTGCCAAAAGATATTCATCACTATTCAGACTGTTGTCAAGTATAGCATGCTCCACTAAAACCAAAAGCATCACACACTTGTTTAATTCTCCAAAATATGTTTTGAAAACAACTTCCTAACGTACAAATGGAGTGTGGATGCAATGAAAAACCAATGCAGAATCGCAGGACAGCCACATGTACTACCGGACAACACAGGTAAGCAAGGAACCTCAAACAACTCCATAAATCAATTCTATTCAAAACTACTGGACAACACCCGAGGAAGGAACCTCAAACAGCTCCACAAACCAATTCTTTCCAAACCAACAAGAGCTCCAATGCTGACTTTCTGACTATCTTGTGGACAGTTCCAATGGTACAACGTGAAGATTGCCTTGACGGGCAAAAAAAATGGGGAACCATTCCATACAAGCGGAAGAGATTATGATTAAGAATTTAAAGATGATTGAGGGTGGCAGCCAATCTTTTATCAGCACACAGTAAAGAGTGTGGAAAGCTCTCCAAAGTGTGCATCATGGAGGCTGGAGGAGGAAACTTCATACAGATCAGATTTTTATTTCGGCATGTATGAATGACACTTTATATGATTTTCAAAGGAAAAATTGTTGCCCAGTAGTTTGCTAAGGATGCAGGACAAAACCAACCCATCATATACTGAAAACCTATCTCCCATTTCCTCCGCCAGATCACCAAAGAGGTACTTGAAGAAGCACAGGAAAACCCCAACAGTTAAAACAGCCACAAGTCCTAACCAGCAAACTGGCATCTCAGTACATGGTAATGAAAACAAACACATTGCGACAGAGAACATGTAATTATCAGCTAAACAAACACATTAAACAGACGATCAAAAAAAAAAATCAACAGGGAGTAAAAGGGGGGTTGGGGGGGGGGGGGGATGAGAGGGCAGGCATACTATTTCCAGTTGGGAGGGAGCTTCTTGGTCTTCTTGTAGTAACGAGCGAGGCGGTGAATCCTGCTCTCCACCAGAATCAATCTGAACTTGGAATCCTTGTCCTTCCTGTTCCTCTCCAAATGCTTCCTGATTGCGACTGCCGTCTTGATCAGATGGTACAGATCCTCTGGAATCTCGGGTGCAAGCCCTGCCCACCGAACCAAGAAAAAAAACAACAATATTGTTATAAAAAAAATCAAACAAAGAAATGCTAATGCAATAAGGAAAATGATTTTTTTTGAAATATACCGTGAGCCTTGAGGATACGCAAGATCTTGCTGCCAGTGACACTCTTAACCTGCGCTATACCATGAGAGTCGCGAAGAATCACACCAATCTGAGACGGTGTCATTCCCCTCTTTGCAAACTTGCAGATGTTATCTTCAACCTATCAATTTTCCAGAAAAAAAAAAAGTCCCCAAAAAAAAAGAACAGAACAATAAGAACTTGTACACCTAGAAAATTAGCAACACAACGAAATTCTACTACTAACATCCTGGGAGGAGATCTTCAGCCAGCTTGGGGGCGTTCTCTTGTAAGGAAGAGCCGATGCAGAAATACCCTTACTGCATTTTACAATCACCGGAAAATTTAAAAACCAAAAAAAAGAGGAAAAAGTCAGCCTCCTCTGCTTTACAAACGAATTCAAACGAAAAAAAAAAAGAGCATAAGTAATTGCATTTGTTTGTTTGTTTGTTTGAGAAGAGGGAGATGAAGCAGACCCGCGACTGTGCATACGACCCATGGTGACGGAACGCGGCGGCGGCTGCGGCTGCGGCTGTGGTAGGGGAGTTGCTCAACCACGAACGGCGTTTACCTAATACGAATACGAATGGCCACAAACCGATGCTGGATATGTTGCTGGCTACCAGTACTCACTAGGGTTTAAAACATACTATATAGATTGGGGTGTCAATTGGGCCTCGGTTCAAAAAATAAATAAAGGTTTTGGATTTTTAGGTTCGAGTCTAGTTTAGAAAGTTTTTTTTTTTTTTTAAAGAAGTTTAGAAAGTTCAAGCTCGGTTCATCATTTAATGTTATAGTATGTATAATTATATACTATATACATCATTTAATATGCAAATATATAATTTCTATCGTTTAAGAAAAAAAAATTTAATATGCAATTATATATATGCTAGTGTTGAGGGCATCGAGGGAACAATTAAAATGAATTAATTTTGTACAAGTATTATTTGTCACATACAAAAAAAAAAGTTATATATAACTTTCATGAAAGAACTTTGGTGTACGTCATTATAGTAATTTTTTGATAGTTAAAATGATTATGAGTAATTGTATTGACAAGATGTGATTAGGTGACTAAGGTAAAAATCAAGTTCTATAAGGGTGAAATTGGATGTTTAAAAGATGACAAAAAGTGTTTACACCAATTCTAATTGCTTTGACATTATATATTGTGCATATTGCACCGATATTATGCATATAACTTTACATGTGAATGGGCCGGGACTTAACTAGGTTTGAGCATGGTAAGATCCAAATTCGCTCATATTTAATTTGGATCTATTATTTAGACTTAAACTCTACTTGATTCTATTAAACATAAGGCTTATTGAGCTTTTTTTTTTTGTTATCAAACGGTCCGAACTAGTCTGACCCTATTGACAACCCTACTTCTAAGTTTCATCTTTTTATTTGTCTAAAATTGTGAAGTTAATTAGTACCAATTAAGGATTTACATACTTTTTAGATAATTGAATAAATCTCTTGTAATTGGCCTAGGAAACAACAAAAAGGAGTTTTTTTTATCCATTTAAAACTCACAAGCTATAAAAAATAAATTCTAATTTATTATAATAATTTTTTCACCTAATAATTACTTCCAAAAGCCAAAATCTACCCCCAAAAAAAATTGCTTTAAACAGACAATATCTAATTAATCTATAAACCTTCCTCTTACGTAGATTATATTAAATTTACTACAACTTTAGGGGATTAGTCTGACCAAAAGGTTGGGATACCCCTAAGTAAAACAAAAAACAAAATCCAAGTCGCTATCTTTGTCACCTCCCGCAAAGCCACTGTGCTGCCTATTTTTCCTCCACTTCTTAACAGACTCCATATATCTCATCATTCTTTTGCTTAATTTGCTTAGCCCTCTCCTTCAGCTTCTGTGCCTGCCTGTACCTCTTTGGCTATTTTCTTGTTCTATCCCTTGCCTTTCTTCTCTCCTCACTCTCCTCAATCTTTATTTTCTCTGCCAACAGTCGGTGAGTGCATCAGATTCGACCATTTCAGCATAGTAATAAGATCGGATGGCCTCAGGAAAAGGTAAGGTTTCCCCGTTGACTGAAGCTCCACCAAACGCCTGCCTCGTACCCTGCAATGCCTGCATATAGAAAGCAAGTTCCCTGTCGTTTGTAGCAGTCATTGAAGGTTCAGTCAACTTCAAATCTTCATCTTCTTCTTCTGACTCTGGTTCTAAATCAACGACTTCATTGTCTTGATCCATTTTTGTAGCCTAGTCTTATTGGTCGTAACTAGACAGCCGTCCATAGGTTGCTGGTGAAGCTGAGTGGATATGATTGTAACTTTTGTAAGCAAACAGTGGCCATAGGTGAAGCCATGTTGTAACATAATAACAACTTAACATTAGTTTCTGAACCAATTAACAAATTATGTTCTTGGGCCATTCTTTCTCTTTCGTATTTTAGAAAGTTTGTGGATGCGAATATCAAACAGTTCAACAATGTAGCAGATGATTAAATTCCAAGGGGGTAAATCAAACATATGACTCTGAATTTCAAACCCAAAAACTTTTGAACTATTTATAGGTTAAACAAAAGATACACTCTTGACTTCAATGATAAGACCTGCTAAGTTGCCATTCTGAACCTGATCACCACAGAAAGGAGGAAGCTTTACTTGAGAGGGTAGTTTATTGCAGAAAACCACCACACAAATTGACAGAAGTGTTGTGCAAAATTCATTCACGAGCAACTACAACAACCTGTTTCCCAACATTGCGGCCGCTAAACAAACCTATGAGGGCTGCAGGGACACTTTCAATTCCTTCAGCAATGTCTTCCACATATGTTATCTTTTTCTCGCGGATACGAGGCAATACAAGATCCAGAAATTTCGGGTAAAGCGAAAAGAAATCAGAAGCAGTAAATCCTCGGATGTTAAGTTTTTTTGAAATGACGGCTATCAAGTTCTTTACTCCTTCAGGTTCGTCAAGATTGTACTGTGAGATCATTCCACAAGCAGCAATTCGACCAAACATGTTCATATTTAGGAGGACAGCATCCAGCATCTTTCCCCCAACATTTTCAAAGTAGATATCGATTCCTTCAGGGAAGTACCTGGTTTGAAGCAAATGTTGATGATTAATGACCGATATTGCATTCAATTCACCTTAGCCAATGGACCAAATACTAGCCACAAATTTTGAATGCATGAATCTTTTGCAAGCAGAACCTGGTTGAATCAAATTCTTAAGGTTGGATTCTGTACGTTATCTGGATTTCATACATTTTATGACATTGAAACAGAAAATTAGAATGAGAAGAATATGTAATCATACATATGCTCGAGTAAAGGAAAGAGGGATTGTATAGCAGATCAAGTTCAAACATTTATGCGAAAATTGGGTATTTCCTGCTTTTCTTTTTCTTTTCTGCTCTTCTTTATGGCAGATCTTCAAAAGCTCATGAAAAGTGTTGGCTTGACAATATTTTAATAGAAAATTCACAGGTTTGGCTGAGCTGCATTAGATATTTTGAGTTATTGAACTAGACTGTTGTGTCATTTGTCTGTAGTTTCTTTTCCAAGGGAAATTTAGACACCAAATGACTGTCTTAAGGAAAATCTAGAAGGCAAAAAGTTGATTACATACCTCTTTAAAGCAGCATCCCAGTCATGTTCTTCCTTGTAATTGAAAGCATCATCAAAACCAAACTTGTTCTTCAAAAGATCAACCTTGTCATATGCATTAGAAGTGCAGGTAAGTTAGATTAGAAAGGGTCCATGGCCAATATGAAGTGTGGATGATTTTTTTACAAAATTTGTCTTGCTTTGTTTTCTAATTGTTTTGCCGGGGAAAGGGGAATGGGAAAAGAGGGGTAGTATGGAGGAGGCTGACAAGATGAAGTTCAAACATGTATCAGGTAATACAGTAAATAGCTCAAATGGTGGCAGACCTCAGCAAGATACTAAAATGATCAAAGTAATTAAAAGGGCCGAATCACATCCGTTCCCTTTCTCAAATTCATTGTGCCCAAAAACAAAGAAAAAGCACTGGCAAACAAAGTCATCAAGAAATGGATTGCAGAAGAACAGGTTTTGATCACAAAATTAAAGGGAGAAACTAGCAAATTGAGACTAACTACAGCAACTAGTTAGAATAGAAGTAGCAGCTATATCCATGCTGATTGTAGCTACAGCATAATTTTCTGAGATGTGAGGTTCAAATTAACGGATTTTCCTGTAAAACTTGGAAGGACCAAAGCAAAGGAGGGTCAGCTACCTTTTCTTTACTTCCAGCACTTCCAACTACATAGCAGCCCATCAGTTTTGCAAATTGTCCAACGAGCTGGCCAACTGCACCAGATGCTGCTATAAATAAAATAAAGAGGTTTTTGGTAAAATTATATATTTTTGGTAAAAGTGGATAATATTGCATTTCTATTGATTTTAATGGTAAAAACTTCATTTTTATGCAGGAATGATGATTCAATCACCAAAGGATGTCAAATGAGGTAAAAAATAGAGATTTGGTGATGAATTCAAGTGGCAACAAGAAGAATGAAGTGAAAAACGTTCAAGTGAGGAAATGCAATACAAGTCAGTTTTGACACTCTTCAGTATTTTGACCATATCTGGAGCTACACTTATCGGATTGAGGTGATCTTTACACCATTTTAAAGCTAAGAAAGAGACCTACAATTCGTATGAAGACATCGAAATCCATTTCTGCCATCTTCATGGGCAAAACGTTGGAATACAGAAGCTGCATTCTGTGGTCGGAAGTTAAAACAGAGGTTTGAACAGGTGACAGTATTTCGATCATATCTCAGGCTACAAAGCTCCGATTTGGATGATTCTTGAAGCATTGGAAAGCTAACTCAAAGGGCTACAACTTTTGTGTTTTGCACAAAAGCTAGTTTGGCCTTTATCATGGAGAAAATCGCAGTTGAAATAAGGCCAGAGTGAAAACGCGAGTAGACAAAACGCGAGTTTATGCCGCGTTTTGTGTAGGCGCGTTTTATAGCCGAAATTCTGCAATTTGACTCAGTCAATTCTCTTGTGTTCATACCACTTTCCAGCTATAAGATGCAAGGGAATTCGGTGCACATGCTTCTGCAATAAAAGAGAAGACCAAATGAGTGTGGACAAAAAGGAAACATCATATCTTTGACTTCTTTTTACAAAATCTGAGTGGAGGAAATTATGAAGTGAGAGGAATGGAATTTCTACCACCTTTTATGCAGAAACACAGGGGAGAAGCCTGGCATGACCATACGTAGCTAGTTTTCCTTCTTGCAACAAGTTTTCTCTCTAGTTAAGAGTTCTTAGAGAAGCATTTGGTTTTTCACTTGTAACCATCTTGTACAAGAACATAGCAGGAATTGGAGAGCTTTACCTTCAATTGGCTAAGCTTTCTTTTACCTTTCTTATACTTGTACTTCATGATGTTTTGCATTAATAAACTTGTGAGTTTGATTGTTAAATCATTCATGAGTAGCTAATTTCCTTTATCTAGGGAGTAGATGAAGCTTATGGCCAAATGATATGAAGTGATTGTGATTTATGCTTGTTATGTCTTGTATTAACTTATCTACTTGTGTATGTTGGATTACTTGTTGCTTGATCACCAATAGCAGGTTTATAGTTGTTTTTACTCATTGAGAAATGGTAAAAATAATGGAATGACATAAGTAGAGCTTGAGTAGTATATTCATGAGAATAGAAATACATTCAAGTGGATAAAATCTATATTTCAGGTATGCACAAAACAGATTTAGTATTTTCCAAGAGATTAGGAAAAACTAATCTGTTTTAACCCATTATTATCATGAAAATGTGATTTTGGTATTGTTGGAAATGAATCCTTGGTTAAACAAGAGTAGTAACAAGTGTTAAATTCATTCGTTTTAGATCTTTTGTGTTATATGTGGAATCTACATCCCTAGATCTTAATATTTAGTGAATTCTACTCCTATTGTGAAATTGCATTTATCTATTTAAGAATTTTTGTAGTTGAATTAAAATCTGAAGTTTCTGCTCAAATTAATTGTAAGTCTAAATAATAGAGTAAATTAGTATCTAATAATTGTTTTAATTGCTCCTCGTGGGATCGACTCGATACACATCTTGTACTACAATTGCGACTTGTATACTTGCAGTCCAACGGGTGTAAATTCGGAATTAAACTTGCACTTAAGGTAAAAACCCGTCAAGAACTATTACTCGTTTATATTTAGTTTTAATGTTGTAGTTCTGTAAATGTAAAAATTAGTTTTACAACTTAATAGTTGTAGCAATTATAGTAAGAAAATTGAATAATAAGTGAGTTTGAGCTAAACCCAAATAAGACTCACAACTCGAATATTTTGTGAATTGAGTATGAGTTCCACATTTATTAACGCGAATCCCATAGCCTAAACCTTGAAGGTGCTACAAATTAAATGAGCTGAGATTAAACTTATTAAAGTCCGGTTCATTAGGCCTGATTGACAGGCCTACTTATTTGTGACTAAAATGCCGATGATGGATTATTTTTTAACAAGAAGAAAGATCAATGAAATTGAAATGGTTGTTGAACAAATATCTAATTTTCAGTAAGCAACCCTCATTGATCTTCCGATTCAAAAAAAAAAAATTCTAATTTTCAATTTTTAACAGTATTGAATAATAAGGAATTGGTAATGAAAATAGAAGTTATATAATTTTTTTAAATATATGTTCTATTACTAATGATAATTAAATATTTTTAAAAGCAAATAACAATATATATATGTATATATATATATGTAACCATGAAAAAAATTTGGTCAGTGCATATTTATTGAATTTTGTATATTGTATTAGAAATGGAAGAGGAGGAAAAAGAAATACAAATATGATTGGGGAAAGAAGATGAAGAAGAAATGTAATTATGTGTTAATAATTTTCCTCCAACGAAGGCATGATTATCTTTTCATGCTCTATCGGCTAAAACTCATCAGGGGGCTATATGTAGATTTGGTGAATACAAGAAATGAATTGCTACCAACTCCTTGTTGCAGGGGACTTTTGATTATGAGAGGATCTTAGTAATTTAATTTTTTGATGTGGTTTCCTGCATATACGATTGACAAATTACTCGCAAAGTGATAGATAAGGAATTCAAAGTGCTATCAACATATCCAAGTTGGTGTCCTATCCAGAAATGATGACTTCATTTGAAGCTAAATACAAACTAATCCTTGTGCAATTGTATTCTTTTTTCCCTTATTCATCTTTAACTTGGATAAATATCGTAGAACAGAAGTGATCTGCTCCATCCAAGAATTTTGAGATTAGGATCAATTCTTCACAGTTCCATCGCTAATCTGATCAGTAAGTGATAACTATGAGGATGGAATGCTTCTATCTCCTAAGCATATTGCCTGAAGCCGCCTATAAATGCCTCCCATGACTCCCAACACATTCCACATCAAGAACTCCTCTCCAAACTTAACATCAAAATAGCCATCATGAGCAGCAAAACCTCAATCTCCCTTCTTTTCTTCGTTTGCTTCGTGGGCTTGCTCATTAGTGGCATAGCCATAGACTCTGATGCTGAACAAACTGCAGCATTTTATAGCAATTACTTAGCCGCCTATCAAAAGTATGCAGAGAATGTTGCAAGCAAGATGAACAACAATGGCATCCATTCCGAACTCCTATTTTTTCCTCCCCCAATCTTTTTCCCATTTCCATGGCATTTTCCTCCACTTCCAATTATATCGCCTTTTCCTCCACTCCCTGGCATCGGTGGTTTTCCATTTCCTCAACACCCTCCACCACCATCTGGTGGTGATGGCAGCAAGAGCCCTCCAGGTCCTCCACAAGGTATTCCACATCTTCCGTTTCCATGGCCTTTTCCTCATCCACCGGCCGCTGGCACTCCATCCCCTTCATCCGGTGGCAAAGCCCCTCCAAGTCCTCCACAAGGTTTTCCATTTCCTCATCTTCCATTTCCATGGCCTTTTCCTCATGCACCTGCCGCTGGCACTCCATCCCCTCCATCCGGCGACAAAGCCCCTCCAAGCCCTCCACAAGGTTTTCCATTTCCTCATCTTCCATTTCCATGGCCTTTCCCTCATCCACCTGCCGCTGGCACTCCATCCCCTCCATCCGGCGACAAAGCCCCTCCAAGTCCTCCAGCCAAAAGTCCTCCTGCTGGTCAGAATTAGAGCTTGATGTGGCTCTTTATTTTAGACTAATAATATAAATGTCTCGATATTTTAGACTTTAAAATAGGATATTAGTATAGATTAAATAAAAGGTCGTATCAGTATCTATTCTTTTTTTAATAAAAGTTCTTGATTCGTAGAGAAGGCCGTATCAGTATTTGTTCTTTCATTAGTCTACATCAATAAAAGTTCTTGATTCGTTTTTGTTGATTGTGTTTACATTTATCATCCTCCAATACTGTTTTATCTAAGTTATACAAGTTTACTTCAAAAGTTATAATAATTCTATTAGAACCAGTAGAACTCAACGTGCGATATCTTTGATCCCAATTTGGGAGTCCTCTCATTTGCATAAAATATAGATGTCCCTCATGGGGATTTAGCAACTCCACATTATCTGGCAATAGGATATCTGAGTTGAGTTAGATATCCACGAACATGGTCATATGATTGCCTGTTAGAAAATTTTTTGTAACCAGCATAATTTCAAGCAATTTATTGTGATTCTTACACCGTCTACAATTGCGAAACTCTTAATAGTAAGATTCATAGCTCTATTTGAATAGAAGGGAAGTTAATTATATGGAAAAGTAAAGAGAAGGAAAGTAATTAAGGTAAAGAAAACTGAAAATAAGTTTTTTCATACACATTTGGTTACAAAGTGGGAAAGTCATTCTAAATTCATCCCTATAAATTCAGGGGCCAAAGTGTGAAAGAAACATACAAGAGCTTGTCTACCCAGCACAAGCAAGAGTCAAAGTTGGCCCAAATAAATTGCTATTGCTTTACCAGAGTCACGAGATTTTCACATCAATATGGTTTGCTAAATTTCTTCCAGGTTCAGTTACTTAATTTGATCTGCTAATTGTTAATCAATTAGGTCAACAATATATAGTAAAATCAACATTGGATTCTGTAAATTGCTAATACTCGGACCTGGTGATCATGCATTAAATTCTTCATGTTCATTGGTTCATTAGCTTCTCCATTTCTCCAGCATGCGTTCGAATATGCAGTAAGATTAGCCATGTGAAGCACTCTCTTGATCAATTAGGAGGTAAGTATCATTGATAAAAGTGAAATTATCCCATATGGTTTCTGATTCTTTCAGTCTGAGGAAAAGTGATCTTCATGTTTTTATCGAAGGAATGTGTAAGTACCATTAGTCCTTC